AAACAAAAACAAAATGCAGTGCATAGTTGAAAAAGTTGTCGTGCAGGACAAAAGTCTGGCGACATCCTTTGAAGCACGCAAATAATCCCGCAAAACCGAGCGCTTAACTTTTCTTTCTTTTTTTTTTCATCCAACATTTATGCGGGGCAACAGCATTGCTTTTTGCCCGCACTGGGCCGCCAGCGCCCCTACCGTGTCCACACAATTATTATGTATCAAAAAGGCCATTTTTTCTATTTTTATACCCTGAACCCATTAAAAATGGGTATAAGGGTATATTGTATTTGTGCAAAATCCAAATGTATGTAACAGGCAGAAGGAAGCATCTCCGACCCCATAAAGTATATATATTCTTGATCAGCATCAATAGCCGAGTCGATCTAACCATGTCCGTCCGTATGTATGAACGCAAGGATGTCAGAACCTATAAGAGCTAGAGACTTGAAATTTTAGATATAGATGCTCCTAGTTCCCGCGCAGATCGAGTTTATTTCCGATAATCGATAACTTACTCTGTTTCCAAGCAATCGATAAAAATCCTGTTTTTTGGGCAATTTTGGTAAATAATAAGAGCTAGAGTCACCAAACTTGACATATAGCTTCTAAAATAAAATATATATATATGCATTTGATGTTGGAAGAAGAGGGATCAGGGTATCCCCTAGTCGGGAGCTCCCGACTAGAACCTCTTACTTGTTTTTTTTTTTGTGTGCACACTATTTTGCCATTTAACACAAAGTTAAAATGTCAACGATGTCTGATCGTGTGGTGCAACCGAAGGCAACAACACGCAGCAGCAACAACAACAATATGTAGCTGCTGTCATGAGAGTGATGGATAGATAGTTGAATGGATGAATGAATGGATGGATAGATGGATGGATGAGTGTCTGGTCCAGTATGCAAACAGTTTGTATCGGCGCTGAGATGGTCGCTGAGGTTGGGCTTTTGACTGCAACTAAAACAGAAACTGAAACATTGTACACACACAAGAACACACAAACACACACTCGTACACACATCTGCATGTTATGCATATTTACAACATTGAAACGCTGTCTGCCAACATTTTGAATACAAACAAGTCAAGGGGCTCCAAACGAGTTTCAACAATTAGCAGTTAGAACAACATTGACAAGGCGATTTTATAAGGGTTGGTGATATTCGATCACAAACGAGATGACACAAATAAGAGATTCTATTCGGGAGCTCCCGACTAGGGGATACCCTGAACCCTCTTATTCCAACACCAAAATCAGCTCGCGCTATGCGCTCTTTTGATTTGATATATTAAAAAAAAAAAGTTTCCTTGGCATGGTTCGAACTTGCAACTAACCGCGCTACTTGCCGCCGTCTCTACTCAGCCGCACCAGCCACAAAAAAAATAAATGGCTTCCCCGGTATTGTTTGAACTCGCGACAGACAACACCAGTTGCCACCGCCTCTACTCTAAGTAAGAAAAAAAAACGAATTAAAATTGTTGATGGCTTCGAAGTAAACGCGCATGATTTTTTGTGTGCACATGCATACAAAAATTCTTGGGATCTGCGCTGGTGCCGCAAACACGTGTTTCTTAGCCGATCTTGATGAATTCTACAGTTTCTATTGTACCATAGAATATCTGTGTATTCTCAAAGAGTAAATAACATTAAAATGTAACTTAAATTGGGCAATAGAAGTTGGGTTATAAACTTAATTTATAGCTATGAGGTAGTAGCGGGGAGGTGGCAATATATATAAAATGAAAGAAACTTGATATATATGTATACTATTTTAGAGTAAACATATCACTTTTGGTGACTCTAGCTCTTATTATTTACCCAATTCGCTCAAAAATCCGGATTTCGAAATCGACTTTTCGATTGCTAATTAACTGAGTAAGTTATCGATTATCCGAAAAAAGCTTAATCTGCACATGGACTAAGAGGACCTACAGCTAAAATTTCTCTAGTCTAGCTTTTATAGCTTCTAAAATCCTTGCGTTCATACATACGGATATACTGTTGATATACTTTATGGGGTCGGAGAAGCTTCCTTATGCCTGTAACATACATTTGCACAAATATATTATGCCATTTTACCCATTTTCCATGGGTGAATGAAAAACAAACCCTAGGAACAAATGATGTTGTCCAATTGCTGTTCTTTTAATAGGAAAAAATTTTAATAACACAGGAAAGCAAGGCACATCGAAGACAATATTATGTTTATCTTATCAATGTTGATAAGACCCATATGTGTGCAGCATAGGAAAACTTATGAATGTCAAGTCTGGACAATGTGTCTTAAAAAGCCAAAAAGGCCCTATATATGACTGCGCCAGGGCAGCTTTTTGATATAGAAGTCCGATCCGGTTCCTACATCTTTCGTACATATGTATGTCTGCAATAGACAGAAGAACCCATGATAAGTTTCATAGGCTTAACATTGCATCGGAACAGTCAGACAGAGAAACGTAGAAGACTATATCGACTCGGTCTTTAATATGTATATATATACTTAATGGATTCATAGGATGCATCCCTTATATGGTTTACTAATTTTTGAACAATTTTAAAAAACGCTCAACAAAAGTATAAACAAGTTTTCGTCTCAGCATCTGACTAAAAGTTTGTCTCTATAATAAAACAGATAATTCAGTTTGGAGAAAGACAAAAAATATCCATGTAAAATAAAATTCAGTTAGCCAATTCGTGTAGTCTTCAATTACGTTAAGAGAAAATCAAAAAAAAATTTAAATTTTTTCCTTTTGATCCAAAGCTCAGTCTCTTCAGACTCTTCTTAGAAAACAGAAAAAGAAATAAATATGCGTGCAATTTTATGTGTACTAGCAGATAACTCGGACTAAACACAAAATATCGTTAAGGCATGAAAACTGAGCTAAACTGAAGAGTGCCCTAGTCAGATGCCCTGCAAACAGGCTCCACACTGCGTATCGCATACACTTTCAAAGCTGCCAATATACCCTGTTTTAGTCGCTTTCTGTGCACAGTGCAGGGTATGCATAACTAGCTTGTTTGCCAAACGGCTTATATCATACATCTGGCTCACAAGCTGCCTGGCGGGCAATTGTTGTTGAGTAAACAGACGCATTTATATATATATATATATATATATATGTTCGTGTGTGTATATACAAATAAGTACGCATACAGGCATGCGCGCGCATATAGTGTCACCCAACATATGCCGAGCTGTGTGTGACTCTTGAGTTTCTTTTGCCTATATTTGTTGTAATAATATTAGTTTTTGCATTTATTTGCTGGTGCAAATAAACCAAACACCAAGCCCCCACCATCCCCAGCCCCTCACATTGCCCACAATAGAATAGTCTTTTGTTTTCCTTGTGCAATGAGCTGGTGAGCCCCAGTGCCCGAACATGGCCGGGTCAGGGCCCTGGCATCCTGCCTGGATTGTTCGTTTTGGCAGCTACGGAAGTAAGATTAATGCAATTGGGAAATCCAACATTCGATATTTGCTGTTGCTTTGTGTGTATGTTAATATGTTATTATTGGATTGTCTTCAAGTGTTTTCCATGTTTACCAAAAATATATTAAATCAACAATCAAATGATTGCCCACATACATACGTATTTATATATAAGTATAAATACTATACATAAATGTCTGCAAAATGTGCTCTTTATTATTTTTGGCGCTATTGTGCACGAAATTATGATTCAGGCAAATCAAATGGCAAGGAAATGAAATAATCAGTTTAATTTGCATATACATACTCTATTCAGATTTATTAAAATAGCATTCAAATTTCAAAGCCAAGCGACACGCTTGAACGTAGCTTATCGCGCGGCAGTGCTGGCAGTTTAGCTATTTGATAGCTACATTTTACTCTTTCAAGGATTAGAGCGGGCCACAATGGAAATCTGAATCAAATTTAGCTATTTCCATTTTTTTCACAATTTCTGCTTATTTAGCTAACTGAGCTTTTTTCCAGCTATTGTTTGCATTGAATTTAGCTACTTTTTAGGCGCGATAGCTGCCAGCACTGCCACTGTTGATGGTATTTTAGCTTATTTTCGTGAAACAATAAACTGAATCGAATCAAATATAGAAAACAATTTGGAAATACAAAAATTCAGCTTTTACCTATTTATTAATAAACATTTACATTATTTTTGTAGATAAACATTTTTTTAATTTAACTAAAAAATTGCTGTAAAATATATGTAAAAGTATCGATACTTGAACATCGAAAGCTGTGACTAAGATGTTCGATAAATCAACGCTAATTTATCAGCTGAAAGCAGCTTTCGGCGACGTTTTGAGCTTGTTGGTTTTTTTTTAAGATTCGTTTCTGTAAACAAAGACTCATTTGTTTGTTTATATTAACTCTTCAGCGCTCAATTTGCTTATTTAACGTTTGAGTGCAGTGAGTAGAACGTGGACTTAATAAAGGCTGTTGTGGAACGTTCATATTAGAAGAAAAAAGTAACATATAAATGTATTATAATGTTTAAAATAGTGACACAAATTGAAAATGCAAAGTCAATCTTTTTTTATGCTCTGTGCGCATAGTGAAAAATGGGCTGATTGGTTATGTGCACTGTCTTGCAGCTCGAGACTCGAAACTTAAATGATATACTCTTGTGTAACCTGGACAGCAAGTGTTAAGTTTTTGGTTAAAGTATACAAATGCGGAAGTCTTCAGCTTGATAGTTGACAATATCATAAAACAGAAACATGCTGACGAATTAGAACCAGTGACTTTATTTCTGGCAGCTAAGCCACATACATTTTATGACACTCCGGTTGCGCGTCTTACCTTAGGCTTTGTTCTTTGAGAAAGCTTTTAAAGCTTACAATGTACATTTTATAAAAAAGTATTTTCTCGAACGATTTGTTTGTACAGTTCGCGTATAATCTATTATCAGCTAATCGCATGTAATACGCTACCCCTTTGCAACTTATCAGCCTTGAGTTACTTATTTCGTCTCAGACATAAGCTGCCAAGTACACATTTCGCTTTTTACCCAAATTTTAATCGGATTTGTAATCATTTATTTATCTAAAATGCCTTTGTTGTTGTTTACTCGTGGTGCAGCTACTGCTGATCAGTCTTGTAGGGACCGAAGGCGCGCACATGCTCCCGTATTCGCACCGCATTGATGGCTATGAAACCGCCCGCATCCTGCGGCACATAACCGCCATGCACATCCATCGAGACCAGCTGCTGGTTGTAGAGCGCACCCACTTTGTCGCCAGCCTTGCGTGCAATGGCGCGACAATAGCCGGGCGACAGCTCCACCGTCACCTGCCCGGTGACATACTCCTGGGCCAGCTGAATGCAGCGTCGCACATAGAGCGCCTCGGGACTGAACCAGAAGCCATTGTACACAAAGTCGGACATGCGATCGCGCAGGAGTTGCTTGGTGCGCAGAACCTCGCGATCCAAAGCAAACACCTCCAAGTCCTGGTGTGCTGTATAGAGTATGGTTCCACCTGGTGTCTCATAGACGCCGCGAGACTTCAGTCCCACATAACGATTCTCAACAATGTCAATGCGTCCGATGCCATAGCTACCGCCCAGATCATTTAGAAACTTTAGCATATTCATGGGCGTACTGTACACTTGACGGCTAGACAGATCCTCAACGCTCGTGGGCAATCCCTGTTTAAAGTGAACGCACACGCGATGGGGCTTCTGTGGCGCCTGTGTGAACGGATCGAGGGTCAGCTCGTAAAGTGTGCTAGGCGCCACAGTATTTGGATTCTCAAGTACGCCCGACTCGTAGCTAATGTGCAGCATGTTGCCATCGGTGCTCCAGGGAGTCGCTGGCTTGGCTGTGACCTCAATGCCATGGGCCTTGGCATAGGCAATCAAATCCTGTCGGCCCTGAAACTGGCGACAAAACTCCATGTCGCGCCAGGGTGCAATGATCTATAGATGAAATGAAAAAACCCTAGATGCTAGATTCCTGTTCCACTGCCGCATAGTCACCTTCAGTTCCGGCTGCAGCGCATAGGCGCATAGCTCAAAGCGCACCTGATCGTTGCCCTTACCGGTGGCACCATGCGCCAAATACTTGGCGCCGTGCCGCCTGGCGGCCTCGATCAGGGCCACACTTATACAGGGTCGCGCCAGCGAGGTGCCCAGCAGATAGCGCTCCTCATAGATAAGACCCATTTGGATGGCTGGCCATATGTATTGCTCAGCGAAATTCCTCTTGATATCAGCCACAATCACCTGGAACATTGTAGATTGTCTTGAGATTAAATGTGATTAGCTTGCATGCGTTGCACTCTGGACACCTCCTTGGCGCCTATCTTGAGCGCCTTTTGACGAGCTGCCTCAAAGTCCTCCTGCTGACCCACATCGGCCAGCACGCAAATGACCTCATAGCGCTGCTCCAGCAGCCACTTCAGTATGCAGCTCGTATCCAGGCCACCCGAATAGGCCAAAATCACTTTCTCGACAACCATTTTTTAACGAGTCTGCGTTCCTCAACGTGCGCTGCCAATTGGAATACTAAAAAACAAAGCTGTTTGCGCTACAAACGACCCGCTCGCGTTTCCACTTCAACCCCGACGCTGTTCAGGTTGATAAGACTGTTTGTTAGCAAATTAAAACAGATTAGTCTCTCTCGCTCTTAACCTGGCAAAAGCTTTACGTAAATATTTTTGATATACTCAAGCATAATAATGTGTGTTTTTTCTAGCTTAATTTAAGCTCATTTATGTTCGAACCTTTTTTATCCATTATAATTTCACTGTTTTGAATTTTCATATGAATACAACATTTTTGCTTTTAGACGTCAATTGACCATTCTTTCTTCGCTCTTGGTAAGTAAATATCTACCATCAGAAATTGCACAACGAGTTTGAAACATATCAAATTGAGACCCTTTTGCGAAATAGATAAGCTTTCGTTCATGCAACCTTTGACCCGCATATTGGACGTGAATTCTACGTTTGAAATGCAATTTCATAAAAATCTTAAAAAAAAATCAAACAATTTCCGCCAATTTTCCATAGTGTGGAGCTGAATTTCCCAAAAGCCCGCCTTATTGACATTACTGACATTTTAATATTAACATTGTAAATATCGAGTAGCTCGCTATTAGATCCTTTTCCGAGGCTGGTTACTAAAACAAAATTCTGATTAGTTTTGTAAGTAAACATCTTGAGCTTAATTTGCCTCTTTTCCTATCAGTTGGACGTATGTGCATATGTTATTATATGCTGATTGTGCAAACGGATTATAAATATTTTGACAAACTTTAATAAGTTGCAGCTTTGGTATTCACACTCACTAGAAGAAGGTGAAATACGTAAATGTTAAAACATTAAAATTAATATTCAACAATTAAATGTACCTTACGTAGTTTTGACTTATATGGGAGGAGAAATGAAGAAGTTGAGATTTATTAATGCCTCAGATATACAACGAACTAAATGAAATATAAGAAAAAATTTGTATAATTTATAATTGAAAATCTTTTAAGATAATATGCAATCGACTTTTACTTTATTTTCTAAGACTTCAAGCATCTAAAGGCTGCCATATAAATTGGCCACGCTTTGAACAATTTCAAAAGATTTTCAGCTCTTTCTTTATTTATTTAACAAAAGTATTCAAATTATCTATGTGTTTAGCTATAAGTTGTATAACTTATTATTTTATTATTCCAAAAATGATTCGAATTATGTTAGAATAAATAATGAATTCAAATTTAAATGGCGAAGAAAATATAATAAATATTCGATTAAGCCCGGGAACACTCGCTGATATCGATACCTTTTTTCTTAATTTGTACTTCTATCGACAGCCGAACATTCCATTCAAAATATCAGAATAGGAATATCTTTAAAATATGTTCGCGACGGAAAAAGTAACAATCCGCGATTTAGTGCAAAAAATCGGTCTAACGTACATTCATACCGAAATGAATTGAATTATTATTGTGTGCTGGAAAATTTGACAAATTGTGTTCGGATCGCTTTGGTCACACTTTTCTTACAGTTAATTTGGTAATTTACCAGAAAGTCGAACAGTACTTGGAACTTGAAATTGCCTTGCTTGGCGTATATTAATCGGAAAAATGTCTTTGCGTAAGCTAAAATTTCATATGTAAATATCTTATAAGAATTTATTTAATTTAATATTGTATAAAGAATGCGTTACATTTTGGATGGAACTTTTGAAAAAAGTTCGTATTGCTGATGACATTAAGAATAATAAGGACGACGCTCAGCTTGAATTGGAGAAATTATTGAAATTAAAGTTGCCGTACCACTCAATAGGCATTTATCCATTTGGCTCGCGTATAATGGGAGTTGCCCAGGAAACTTCAGATTTGGACGTTTACGTTGAATTGGGTTAGTATTTAAACGAGCTGCAGCTGCATGTACATACATACATATATACATATGTTCAAAGTGGTATGTTTTTTATCTGAACTCAGACAACAGCTTCTACGAATACAGCGAGTCACCTAGTATGGAAGTCCTGGAACGACAACGAATTGTGGCTAATGCTTTTAACTCAGAATCAAATTGGAAGCGTATTGCCACCTTTGGCGGAAGATGTCCCATCGTGACGGTCAAGCATTCGACTGGCTTGCAGTGCGATCTTAGTTTCTTTAACGGTCTGACCTATAGACAAAATATACTGGTCATGTATCTGTTTGAACTACAGCCTATAGGTAAGTAGATGCGCGAAATCTATAAATATAAATAATATCAAATTGAATTTCTCAAGAAGCTCGCTATATGGTGATCTATTTACGAGGCTGGATACAAAACATTGGTCTGAAAGACGCATTTCGTAGCCATATACTCATACTAATGGTCATATTCTTTTTACAATTACATAACCATTTGCCTGGGATTGACAGGCTACAGGAAAATCAGGAACCAACTGTTGGACGTACGTACTTTGATTTAAATATGCCAATTCAACAAAGTTTAAAACTTAATATATTTCAGCATGGGTTACTACGTTCAATCAATTGAAATTATCAGACTTTAATATGAGCAAGTTAGAAGTCGATGAGTATAATACGCGTTCAGTTTTAAAGCAATTCTTTCGGTTCTACGCCAACTTTAACTTTGCCCAGTATGCTATTTGCCCTTATTTGGGAAGGTATGTGGAACGTCTATTATTTGACAGACATATGCCCCAAAGGTAATGTGAAAATGTGTTCATAAAATTTTAATTATTGCATGGGTTTACTTTTTAAATAATTTAGATATACTCAATTGCGCATCAGAGATAATAAGTTTACACGGTTTACCACGGCCATTCAAGATTTCATATTGCTTGACTTTAATAAGGGTTGGCAAATAAGGGGAATGCATGTTTACACATTCAAATGTAGATGCCAAAAAGAGCTTGATTAATGGAAGATTACTATATATTTACTTTATGCATTTATATATAACTATTTTAAACAATATTTTATGTAAGACACAACAATTTGAATGTTTTTTTTTTAACGAATGATCTTATTAATACATAAAAAGCGCACTTTAATTTTGAACAGACGCATCAGATCACAAAATGATGAATGATTTCTGAATAAATCAGCTTATGTACTCGAATCTTTAGTTGTTTTCGACCAAACGTTAATATTCATAATTTCGCTTGCACTTGACCTATCAATTAGTGAAGCTGTCACTCAGAAAACCCATGTATAATTAAAATCTTTGTCTCCTGGCATTGGCATTGAACTATTTAAATTGCATGCTTCGCTGCACAATTGTGTGGAAAATTGATTTTCAATTGAATACAAGAGAGCTCAAGTCGAGTGTCCGAATAGGGTACACCCTGAAACAGCTGCCCTGGGAAACATTCTAGATTTGTTCTAAAAAAAATCAAGATCTATTGTACATATACCCAATATCGCGCGTCACAAGCAGGAAATGTCACACTTCCGAAATGAACTTTCCGACAAGCTACAAACCAAGTTTATTGAATAAAGCTCTTATAATTTTGTGGCTTTCTTTCAAAATCATGTCCGAAACTAGTTATTTTAATATAATCTAACGATATATATGTTCAAAATATTAAATTAATTTATAGTCTAGATTTTGTATTTTCCTTCATTGAAATGACTAGATTAATCACTCGTCGACCTGATCAGAAATATATATACTTTAGAGAATGGGAGAAGGTTTCTACTGTCTATTAAATATGTCTATCTACTCAGTTTAACCATTTCCAATAGGGTTCAGGGCATAAAAAGCAGTTAATTGAAACAGTTGATTATTTAATCAACGAATTATTCACATAGATTTGAATCTAATTAAGATGTCCTGGCCGAAGTTATTGTATAAAAGCGTGCCAATAAACTTGTTGGTCAGCAGAAGCAGTTATCCTAGCTCAAGTTGAACACTGACAATGCCCAATCCACAACGAATGCGACATGGACTCGGCAGACTCCGGCTGCTGCTTGATCTTGTTATATTTCTCGCGATTTGGCATCAATGTTGCGCCATGTAAGTATTCAATGCACCCGCTCACGTTCGCTATATATTCAACTATTCTACTTGAATGCAGGGATTATGGTGAAAGCAACGCATGCAGTGAGGAACATGCTACAACACCCGACAATTGTGGGCCGGAGGGTGTTCATAAAGTGCCGGTAAACGGCTGTTTCAAATATTACTGCTACCGTCGTCTGGGTGAGCAGTGCTATCCAGGCGATGAGACAACAGCATGTGCTAAGCATCTAACGTGCAGCTGTAACAAATGCATGAACTGCGATCCTACAACTAACGAATGTGTCATGGATAACTGTCCCAGTTATTTAAATTATAAGAAACGTTTGCCGAACCGTTTGCTGCCTTGGTTTGATCGTGCACGTTGGCACACCTTCTTGCAAAAGTTTACCATACCCAATTACGAGGATTAATTGAAGACTTCTACCACTTACCACAATGCATTGTATGGTTAGTGCTTATACAATAATTGACAAGTACTCGAACACGTACGCGCTATACACATATGCATAATTAAAACATATTTATACGAAAACAAAAAAAATATACAAAATATAATCTAGTTGAGCACTGCATACAAAATATGCTTGGGTTAAAAAATCTGGTATTTCGGTAGAAACCAACCCTCATACGCGCGCGATACCTGCGCGATACCACACAAGGATTGTAATTCCCAAATTGCAATTAAGCTGCGCCGCAATATAAATAGCTTATATAATGCGATTGTTCACGTTCTTGCTTCGGCAGAACATATACTAAAATTGGAACGATACAGAGAAGATTAGCATGGCCCCTGCGCAAGGATGACACGCAAAATCGTGAAGCGTTCCACATTTTTTACCAAACCCAGCGGCCCGCAGAAAAGTATATATTTAAATTATGTCCGGCCTTTACGAAAATTGGTTTTTCTGTTTTATGCAGGCATATGGCTGAACATGGCAGTTCGAATCACTATATCTTATAGCTGCTATTAGAACTATATGATTTTTTATATTCAAAGATATCCTAACCATTTTTGAAGATAACAGACTACAATCCAGATTAGCCGTAACGCATATAGCATATGCCATGATTAAACAATATGAAGTAAAATTCACCCTTAAAAATTAGTAAAACATTGACTAAAACTAATGCTTCCTCCGAAATATGGCAAAACTCGTTAAAAAAAATCAACTAAAAATGGACACACTGTGCTACTTCGCCCAAAAGTATGTTTAAAATTTGAAATTAATAGCAGCCTTATCTTAACGAATGTCAACCTAACGAAGATAGCGTGGACAAGCTGATGCTACTTTAATGCTGGATGTCACCGACTTCCAACAGATGGCGCCAGTGCAATAGGCGCGCGGACGCACTCTAGATTTAAATTCAAATTGACCTCGCTTCAATTCACGTGCAATTATTAACAAACAGCCTTCGCTCAGCGCTTGGTCAACTCGCTGAGATTGCTTACAAATCGCATGAAAAATCAAAATATTTTTTGAACTTATTGTACACATATTGCCTGTTTACAGTATTAATCTGCAAGGCACGCACAAAACCCTAAGATATTCAATACCATGAACTTGACAACAATAAATGCCGAACGGCACGATTTTGACTAATTACATTCAGCTCGGCCACTTCAAGACAAATGAGCACACATGATTTATATGTGCTTATTTGGGTGGGTTTGTCGCCAAGTAAATAAGGAAATTAAATCGTAATTCAATCAAAGAGTGTGCCTGCTCCTCAGCTATGCCGTCTTTGCAGCTCAGCTCTCCCAGTCGCATTTGCCACTCACTTATTTGGTTGCCGGCCTGAAATTTGAAGTCAGTCGCCAGTTTACGCTCGCATGATTCACACGCCAAGAGATATAAAATATAAATCGCGTCGCGTATTCGGCACAGTTAACCGTAAACCTGAGTGCTGGTGCTGCATACGAAGCGCAGGAGTTTTTAAATATTAGTTTGGTACAACCCAAATATCAGGAAGCATTTATTTGGTCAACTAGTTGATGTGCCAAAAAAAATAACGCCGAAATTAAAAAAGAAAAGTAAATATTTGTGCCAAGCGGGTGGCGCAGCTCAAACTGTGTGGCTTGCCACACTCTCCCACACATACACACGCACACTCACACACACACACAAGCAAAACACAAGTTACGCTGTTTCAAGTGGCAAAAGAAATTACACAATTTGTAAGTAACAACAACTACAACTAAATGACTGACTAACTTTTAGTAGTTGCTTTGGTCAGCTGAAGTTTTGGTCAGTGCCGGCGCCAAGCTGCACAATTCACATTTGCCGCTTGTTATTGTTTTTGTTGTTGTTATTTTTATTGTTGTTGCATTTTAGGCGAGTTATACATGTCTGAAAAGCTTTAGTTGCACATAGACAATCGGATTGCACACCCGCAAGTTTGTGTCTTGTACAAGTCTTTTGTTTATATTTAATGTTTCTCCTCGCTCGAGCGCTCGTTAATGACAAACCAAATGAACTGAAATACAGGCATATTCATCAGCTTGTCTGCTCTTAAGTACATTAAAAGGGGTCAAGTGCAGCAAAGATTACATTAAACAAAAAAAAAACCTGACGAACAGCTGAAAAAATGTGTCTTAAATTGCTTTGGCAAAGAGTTTGTGTGTACTTCGTTTTGGCCCTGAGAGTCGTGATAAGTCTACCAAGCATTGACAGCCCACCAAGATAACAAATTTTAACAAGTGCAGCTTAAACTGTAAAACGAGTTCGCTGTGCGACTCAAACTGTTGACGGCAACAGTATCCCAACAATTAAACTGTGTCTTAAAATGGTTTAAATTACAGAAAATGTCTTAAAAGAATATTAACGCTTTGGCCCAGATATGCACATTTATAAAAGTCAAGCATGTGATTATTCGAAAACTTTACATTTTTATGTTTTAAAACTAATTTTAAACAGCCTTTAAACCACATACCAAGCACATTTACAAAAACTTTTAAAACCTAAAACTATTCGAAATTTTGTATATATTTGAACTGCTTTCCCAGTGCATGCCACATTCTGATCAGAATGCGCAGTACTTCAAATTTACCTTTAAGAACTGTAGTCAATTAAAGCTGCTTGCCTGTTGCAAGGCATATTCTGAGTCGGAGTGTTCAATACTGAAAAATTATCCTGCAGTTTCGGTAGAAATCCTAGAAAAACCTATCTAAAATTTTGGGTGGCTGCTCAGCAACTTTAGTACAAATCCGACATGAACAGATATTCAATTGAATAATTTCAAACATAAATTTAAACTGCTTGCAAAGCAAATTCTGACTGCAGCTGACAAGCAGTTTCGCCCAGAACGCTAAGCAGTTCAAAATGTGAAACAAACAAGAACCGTTACAATGCTTCAATACAACCAAAACTGTAGTTAAGACTAAGCGTATTTTAATATTAAATAATTGTCGACAATTTTCACGCTTCGCACCCGCTTCAAATGTATAAACAAAACACATAAATACTTAGCACTTACCAATACAAATTTGCACTTGCATTCAACAGGGTCTTGTAAAAGCAACAACAAAATGTCGCAACAGTTGCTCATAAACTGTAACAGCCGCTGTTTAGTCGCGTTCGTTGTTGTCTCTGTTGTTGTTGTTTTTGCGGAGCTAACTGAAGCCTCCGGTCAAATTGATGTGGACGAGGACTTAAAGCATTTGATCGGTCGCTGTCACCGAGATGATGAAAATCTCGAGGCGTACAACGATTGCATGAAACAGGTGTTCAACGATTTGCGCGCCTATTTTACAACAGGTGAGCCACGGTTAAGGTGGGGGTCACAAGTGGACTCATGAACCATTCTCTACCCAACGAACAAACAGGTGTGCCTGGTTACAACATCCAGCCATTTGACCCGCATCACTCATCATTTGTAGAGCTGCGTCGCGGCGATCCGCATGGCCCCGGCAGCTTTAAACTCATTTTACGCAACGTCTCCGAATATGGCTGGTCGCGCTCCGAGGTGACTAAATTTCATAGCCATGCCGAAGATCAGCGCATTGTCTATGCGCAATACTTTCCCGAGAAGAGCCTGGAAGGCGAATACGAGTTCGTGGCCAAAATGCTGGGCACAGAGCTGCGACGACAGGGCCACTGGAATCTAACGCTCTACGACTACAGGTGAGGAGCTTCCAATTATAGTGTATATACATATTCCTATTCCTAATGCTGGGTTATCCAACGGACAGTCAAACAACGAGCGTGCGACGCGTAGGTCCACCTGGCTCGCTGCTGAAGGTGCACGTGGAGGTGGATCGCATTGGCGGCATGGAGCTGCATATAGGCAATCTGTTGCAGGGTCAGCCATTGAATCAACTGGCCGATGGCGTCATCAACAGCATGTGGCAGCTGGGTTTGCCATTTGTCCGGCCCATGATCAACGAGCTAGTGAGCACGGCATTTACGGATATATTCAACGAGTCCTTTCGTCACTTTCCACTCGACAAGTTTCTCAGCTAGTTTATCAAAGATTTTCATATGTTATTTAACCATATCTATCTATGTGTGTGTGTGTGTGTGTGTGTGCGTGTGTAGATCTATTAAAGGTGCTCCGATTGTGCAATAACTAAACATCGGCCAGACTGCTGGCTATCGCATAATCATCATGCTGCGCCTTCTTGGGCGGCTGCAGCGACGACAGCGCCAGGCTGCACGCAAATATGTTGCCCAGCGAGATGACAACATAGCTGGAGCATTTGAATTGCTGCTCCACGGTGTCATGGAGCAGCTGATAGGCCTGCTCCAGCTCGGGCGTTAGCGTAGCTGTGTGTGGACAGAAAGAGAGAAAAAGTACATTTATAGTTCATGTCAAATTTGCAATGAGGGTTGAGCATACGTTTCTGTTGTAGCTGCTGTTTGTTCAGATCAAACATGAAGCGCAGATAGCACAGCTGATTGTAGAGATCGCGCTCGGAGTATTGACGCAGCATAGCGCCGCTGTTGCACTTGAGGCAGAGCGGGCGACGCATCTCGAGGCGTACGGAATAGCTGCGGGTATTGTAGTTGCAATCAGGATGATCGCACACTAGCCAATTGCGATAGAAGCGCTGCACATAGCCGCGCATGCACAGCTGCAGCTGATTGCGTATGCTGACCAGATACTGCAGCGGCGATGTCTGGCATTCCGAATTGACGCACTGCTGCAACACGGGCACATGGCTGCTGTTCGGGCCCGGTCGATAGGCGCTGGCCATTAGCTGCTCCGTTTTGCAAGCCACGCACTTGAAGCGGAATGGCTCGCAGAGCCGATAAAGTTGCAACGTGGTTTTCTGCAGCGATTCACCCTCGGCTTCCTCTGTGCGCTCCCGCTGTATGCTGTGTGTGGGGAGGGGAAATTAACCGTTACGTAAGTTGCTTTGGACTCTACGTTTCGGCTGGCACTTACCGCTGTGCATTTTGTCTGTATTTGCTGGCATCCATGCCCAGGCACTCGGCAATGCGACTGGCATCGGTGCCCTCGAGCACCTCCACCATGCGCGTGACCACCGGATGTATCTGATGGCTTAGATAGTAATTGGTGTCCAGCTTCAGGGATTCGCTGCCCTTCAGCTCCTCCAGGTGATAGGCACGCTGCATAGCCGCATTTGTGGTGCCATTCAAACAGATCACATAGTCCACCATGTCGCCCTTTTTATAGCGTCGATTGCGTTCGCGATTCATGCGCAGCGCCACCTGAACATGCGGCAGCGATGAGCTGTTGGCATACTCTTGGGGCGCACGTGTCAGCTGCTTGGTGATGACATACAGCGGCAGCGGCACAGCCGACTGTGTTATTTGCTCCTTGATGCGCCCGAGCTGGGCGTGCACGGCCTCAAGTTTATCCTCTAGCGGCTTGTCGGTCAGGACTTCATCGAGCACCGCCTTGCCCACCATGACGGCCAGCTGTGACCAATCGCGACGCACAATGTCCAGACCCTTGTGCTCCTGTTCGCGCAGCAGGACGCCCTTGGCATTCTTGCTCAGCTTAACGGCGGCATATTTCTTCTTCTTGAGCAGCAGCAAACAGGCAAAGACGCCATCAATATCCAGCTCCAGTTGTTTGTACAGCTTATTCACGCTCTGCTTGATGGTGTGCCCAATCTTATAAACCTGATCATAGTCGGTTATATTTGTATTTATCATTAGCGAATCCGTGTCGCCATAGACCACATCGTAGTTGAGCTTCTGCACGAGCTGCTGTGTGTTAACCAGAATCTCGCGTCCCTTGTGCGTCACTAGCGCCGCGAGATGCTGCGCAAAGAAACGCGAATGCGCAAATCCCAGACAGCCGTACATGGAGTTCGCGGTCAGCTTGAGCGCCATTTGTCGGATGTGGTACTGCATATGCAGTTCCGCCGCCAGATCCGGTGCAGCCATCAGCTTCTTTACCTCGCGACGCGATTCCACCAAACGACGCAGCTGCAGCGGCAAAATGCCCGGCTCCGCACTGGAATCCGGCAGCGTAGGCAGCTGTTCCGCATCATAGGGTTGCTGCACCGTGGTGAAGCATATATTATACTCCTGTATAATGCTCGGATATAGCGAATTGAAATCCATGAGCAGCACATACTTCTCGTAGAGGCCACGTATGGGCTCCAAAACCAAGCCGCCCGCATATGCGGCCTTTTTACGCACCGCTGCCACCGTTGTGTCCTGGCTCGTGGCATTGGGGTCGGCAGCAGCAGCGACACGACGCGCTGGCAGCTTGTCAGGCACTATGTAGTTCTTCTCATGGAAGGCGTGCAGCAGCAGGTACTCATTGCGCTCGGAGCGACCGCCCTGGAGTGTGCGGGTCATTGTGTTGCCGCAAATGTTGGTTATCTGCAGCGCCAGCGGCATAATGTTCAGCTCGCACATGAGACGCAGCATGTAGGAGGCGTCCTGCATGGTCAGCGAGATGAGCTTGGTGACGTTCTCGCCTACCAACAGAAGAGAGAGACACTTATAAATCGAGAACCCGAACAGAGATTGGCAGATACTTACCCTTCTCATACATTTCGAGCAGATCATCCGCATTGACCTCCATGCGCTCCGATTCCTGGACCTTGAGCACCTGCTGACACAGCGTCTGCAGATCGTAGGATCTGGCTCTGATGCACTCCTCCGCCGACCTCTTCACATCGCATACCATGCGACCCACAAAATGATCCAGCAGCTTTTTGCCAAAGGTTTGCGAGAAACGCAACCGACCCATGCGTGACCACTGCGGTATCTTGAGGGCGACTATCTGATCCGTAATCACATTCAGCTGGCAGTCCATGGCATCAAAGGTGACTATGAGATCCGCATCGATTTGCTGATACTGTGCCAGAAACCAGCTGAGCAGCGCACGCTCCGAGTCATGTTTATAAATCTTTGTCGACTTGTACTTGCTCAACTGCAGATTCAGGTCAAAGGGCCAGCTGGAGACGGCAGGCCGCGTGAGCGCGCACATGTGACGATTGAATGCGGGCTGCGGCGCCGGCCTGTCAATGTGAAAGCGATTGTGGGTGAGCATGGATATCATACAGATCTCGTTTTTCAGTGTCTTTGGATTCATGGAAGTGCGCACGTTGAGTGTGAGCAGGACTAGGGCAGGCGGCGGTGCTGGTTTGCCCTGTTCCACGAGCACAAGCTCCACGTTCTTAGGCTCGCCGACGGTCACATCCGTTTTGCACCAGCTAAGGGGCGCCGGATTGACATTGAAGCCGCTTATCTGCAGCCAACAAGGACCCTTGATCTTGCGCTCCAGCAGAAAACGTTCCAGTGCATTGGTGCTGGCGCCAAATATGTGCGCTATGGAGTCATATTTCTTGTTTTGCATGTTCGGCGCCGGCTTCTTGCCATCGTAGTGCACCTCCAGGTAGTCACAGGTCTGCGGCACTTCAATGCCAATGGCGTGATTGGCAAAGCTTTTGCTCACCTTGCGCGAACGAAATGTGTGCAGCTTCAGTTCGGTGGCAATGTGCGTGTCAAACTCTTTGTACATGTCCGCAGCGGTAACCTTCTGCTTGGTGGGCTCCTTGGTTATGGGATCTAGTAGCTATTTGAGGCGCAGATTAATCAAGAGTTGCATTTACCCAAGCTTGTCTTTATACTTACATATTGTCTGGGCAGGAGATAGAGCACACGATTAATGTTCTGCACGCGCACGCATATGGACTTGCCATCGGGTGTGCGCCCAAAGAGAAACACTTCGCCGGGCAGCTTGATTGCATCCTCCCAGGCCTCCCAGTACCAGAAGCGCAGCTGGTCGACATCCCCAGGATCACTGCCCACCGCTGTCTCGGCCTCGCTAGCCAGCGCTGATCTCTCAAATTCATCGTCCATTTGGCAGATGGACTCCCAGTTGCTGAGCAGCTTGCTCATATCCTCGGCCTCTTGTTTTGGAGGTCCAGCTGAAGCGGGCAGAAGCTCTGGCTGCGCTTTGGACGCTGCCAGCTCAAACTGGTTCTCATCGTCGTCCAGGCAACTGAAATCCAAGTCATTGTCAGGGCAGAGCTCAGGCGTAGCTTCTCTTGCCTTCTTTCTGGGCTGCTCAGCAGCTGTTTCAGTGACTCGCTCCTGCTTCACTTTGACTGCAGCTGGAGTAACTGGACTTGCCTTCTTGTTGGGCAGCATAGCTGACTTTGGCTGCAGGATCCGGTCCAGCATTTCATCATCGCTGCCGGCGTCTTTTTTGCGCTGTTGCTCCTGCTTTTTGATGTTGCTCAGAAAGCTATTCATGTACTCCTTGGCAGCGGCTGCATCGGACTTGCGCGTGGCGGCCATAATTTTGGCAGGCGCAATCACTTTATGCTGTTGCGGCGTTGACCCCGCGTCGCCAGCTGGCTCTTCTTTGATTTCGCCCAGTATGTCGGCCAGGATATCATCATCTTTGACACTGTTTTTGATGTCTGTCTTCTTTGGCAGCGCATTACTGAACAGATTGCGTATAGATGCCTTGCCCTTGGCAGGGCCTGTGTCGCTGTCGCGTGATCGTTTCTTTCCGTTGCCAGCTTTCTTTTTCTTGCCATCGCTCTGACCCTGCTCATTGTCAGAATAGTCATCTTCATCCTCGAAGAAATCGCGACCATCCTCCGCGTAGCCAGTGCCGTCTGTGGACGGCATTTTATTTGGCTGATGGCTTGAAAATGGGTATTTCTACGACTTACCATCTTCAATCCAATCACCGCCGTATTTTTCATTTGCCCGCTTCGCATATTCGCGCTCGTCCACAACTTCATATACATCGTCCACTTTTTCTTCCACCTGGCATTTGTTTTTGGTGCCCTTCAGGCTTCGGAGGCGCTCCAAGGCTGCGAAGCGGCCCGTTTTGTCAATTCGCTGACGCTTGACACGCGGACCAGCTATGTGAACAAATCTCAATACTTATTAATACGTTTAACACTATAATTTGACTACTTACAGGGTGAATCTGACATTTGGAACGCCACAAATTAATTAAATTCTATCAATTTACGCAGTCTGAAATCTTTTCAGAAAAGGCGGGAAAGTGTCAGTGTGCCCACATGGAAGCATCGAAGTAAACTTGCTTAACGCTGGCGCTGCCCTCTTGATAAGTATTCCATTAACAGAACCACTCCTCCGCTTAACAGATTACGTATATGCTCTGTTATGTGAGAAAATTGCTCCTCACAGCAATAGTTTATCCATTATGTTATCGAGCTATGATCCCGCTTCAGCACCACCTTTTGACGATAACTTTTAAGCCCTCTTAAGCTTCGCATTCAAATGATTTGTTCATCATATAAACAGCCAAATATATGTATATATTGTAAACACAAACCATATTAGCAGATTTTGTCCTTGTGAGACCTCCCCCACCTTTTAGCGTTGATTTTCTGGCGCTCCAGCACTCCAAAGTGGTCCGTTATGCCCAATGCACTGCCGCTAGACACGTGGCCCCGCTATGTGGGAAACAGTATTCCGTAAATAAATATTGGATACTATGTGTTTTTTTGCCTTCAATTTAAATGGGGCCGTCAAAAACATAATTTTATGCTACGAAATACCGCGAATTTTCAGGAAATGCCGCGAAACTGATCAGTGTCTACACTCTGAAGCAACGAGGAAAAATAATTCGATATTAACGTTGCCCCATTGTCAAATTGTCTTAGTTAACATAGCGCCTAACACAGTTAACAGAATTCGCTCCCGCTATGGAAAATTTAACATTCATGAGGATGTAAATCGATAAGTTGGCCGGTTACTCTAGTTTTTTCACTTTAAACCATTACTCCTCACTTAAACTAAAAGTTACCATCTGCACTTATGTTAAAAGAAAATTAACATATTTATTCAATGCTTAACAGTTTGGCTAACAGAATATCTTGAAAAATGAGCACAACCTCTCACTTTTAGAGTTGCTATTGTAAATATTACTGTAAGCAGACTTCTCCACATACCTTTCATTCTACACAATAAGCGCGAAAATTAAATACAAATACTTAAAAAATAAAAAACTTGATGATTTGTTGTTTTCTCGTTTTTATATTTTATTTGATCATGCATAATATTAAGCTTAAAGTAATATTTTTAATAATATATTTAAAATACAATAAACAGCAATTGCGTTTATATTTCGTGTTTATAGAAGGCATCTTTCATTTTACTCTTATATCGTATTATTACAATACATATGTAAAGTTCTGGTATATATACACATACACTCAAGCAGAGTTACATATTACAAATGTATACGCCAAATATATATTTATGACTATTCAAAAATTCATACATATTTACAATTTGATAGAAAATATTAGAATTTTTGTGTGTAGTCTACAGTTTGGGGTTGTGATTAAAAAGTATATTTGCCAGAAATATAAAGATGCGAAGAATACTGTTTTAAAATTTGGAAAAATAGTGTTGTGTCCAGTGAAAAACATAGTGAAAGGAACTGTGAAATTGAAAATGTCAGTCTTCCAGGAAAAGCATTTAGATAATGTGAGAGAGAGAGAGGGAGGGAACATTATGAAAACAATTTAAAAATTGCACTGGAAATTCAGATTCATGCTTTGAAAAGGTGTAGGGTCTTTGAGGTATTTTCAGCTATGGAGTATACATATATTGGTACATATTTCATAACAGATTCAAGCCAAAGACATGGCACAAATATAAATTTAAACTTAAGAAAAATTTTCAAGTCTGCCAGATGCCGATCCGATAGTAATGCTAAACATTTAACAACAGCAACAATACAACAATAACGGTTAACAATGCAAAACGCGCGGAAACTGCAATGATAGTAAAATCACAATATTAGATAAATGTATTAAATGTTTATTTTGAGCTCAATATTTACCTAGCCACAGTGCTTGCGCCCATGTGCAGCTGACACGCCCCGTGGTGGACAATCACACCACCTGGACCGTGGCAAAGGCGCTGAATGTGACCTTCTTGGGAAACTCGGGACCTGGCGAGCCGCGTGTCTTGATAACGGGCTTCAGCGGCTGGCGTGGCTTCAGCGACAGGAGTCCGGCGGATGCGGCCAGTTCGCGTAGTCGCTGGGAGAAGCCGCTGCCGCTGGAATTGCTGCCGTTGGCTGTTGTCGCCGCTGCACTATGATGCTCCAGGCCGGCGCAGTCGAGGACATCGAGTCCATTGTTGGAGCGATAGACCTGCGCCGTGGCCGTGGGATATACCGCCAGACTAGTAACGCCCGTCGTGCCGCAATTGCTGCCCCCTGCTGCTGCTGTTGTTGTTGTCGCTGCGGCGGCTGGCGTGATATAGCTGCAGAAATACAGGGAGAGAGAGAGAGACAGTGGAAAATTGAATTAGTCAGCCTTTGCGCTAATTGATTTATTTTTTATTTGCTAAAAACTTTGGGGTGTGAACAGCGTTCACAAATAATCTGATCGATAATCGGAAAGATGAGTCGCACACAACTGCGAACTGGCCAGCGAATTGGCATGTGGCAAACAGTTTATAAAGTGGTTTGGCTACCACAACAAGACCCGCCCGGCAACAGGCCACTGAGCTTAAGATCTTGCATTCAGATCCGCTTGTTATTCATTAAATATATACATACCATATATATTTTTTGATATACAACTAACTTAAACAGCATCCACGAAGCGTGCTGTTTATTTTCATACACTGCTGCAATTTTCAATGTTGTGTCGACCTTATAGATGCTAATTAATTTGTTTATGCGATTCGTGCCCGGGCAATCGATCTTTCAGCTGATGCTGCGCTACTTTTGGCCAACCATTTACCAATAAACATATTGCTTACACAAATACATTTATAGATTTTGTGTGCTTAAGGCTTTTTTTCGCCTAGTTTTTCGCCTTTGTTTGTTTCAATTTTGATTTATTATGATTGAACTCATCCAATACAACAATAGGGTATATGCAAATGAGCTCACGCTGAGTTGATGCGCAACAGCAGCTGCAGAGTTAATTGTTTTTTTCGCAACTCAAATTGTTTACCAAAGAAAATTAATTGAAATTAAATTGATGAGCGTAAAGCGAAAACTTGTCTTGTGAGCTAGTTTCGAGAGGAGAGCTTGGCATAGATATACTTTGCATATTTACAAAGTTTAACACTATAAATCCTCTGCTGGTTTTATATTTTATACTTTATATTTTTTCAATAGCTGTAGATGATAATATTTTTAAATATTTTACAATATGGTCTTGGGGAAATTGAACTATCTATCAGATCGAAAGAATTCTTAGGTTAGTTGATATATATTTTAAAATATTTTAAGTTGGTCATAAAGTTATTATATATAGCTGCCGAGGACTATATTTCTGAAGGAAAGAATTCTTTGAATAATGTTAATATATTTAAATAAATTTGATGCTGGCCGCCTTGAGCTAAATCTTGGTTAATAAATATATTCATGTAGTAGTCGAACAAGCATTGATAATGCAAAAATTTTATTGTTTTATATGAAACTAAGGCTGAAACCGAGCTGGGTACAAGTATGTAGAATAGTGGGTTCCTGAAGCAAACCTAAGGATAGGAAGTTGATTCGAACCTTAAGTTTGACCATCTGGTCTTGCAGTCCTATTTAAAATTACATTCAAGTTAAGTTTAAGTTCCTTAAGTTCCTTATATACCAAATATGTGTTAACATATGTTTGTATTATCATGTGTACCATGTTTATGTATATATTTATTCTCAAATCAATTTCCGTATTAAGCCTCTTGCGCTTATTACGCTGTTGTGTATTTTTAAAAGTTGTGTAATTATTGTTAGCATTTGTTGTTGTTTTGCTTTTGGTAATTTTGTAATACGCATTGCAACTGGAGTGCAATTTTTTTATTTTGGCAGCCTTGGCTGAAAGCATTATTAGCATAAACTGCCGCGTGCTTTACTTCCTCATAATGTCAACAATTTAATGTCAATTCATTTATATATTTCGTTGTCATTGTTGTTTTGTTTTGTTTCTGTTGTTGTTGGCCAAGCAATTGGCATTCACCGAGCGTCAGTCGCAGAATTGAGCGACAGGCGCTTAATGCATAAATAAATTAAAAAATAAACCGTGTTAAATATGTTTTTTTATTTTCATTTATTATATTTGTGTTTTTGCCGCCGAGCTTCACTTGATTTTAAGTCTTGATATAATTTATCGCACAATACACGTTTGGTGCGAGCATTAATTAAGCCAACGCTGCGGCTCTGTGGGTCATCTCCATAGACAAAAATCTCGGCTAGGCGACGCATCATTCGAAATGCTGTACATCAATTAAAATTGAACCAGTGCGCCGGCCAATCTTAATCGTAATGTTGTGGCTCGCACGAGTACCTTCAATGCGCATTTTAATTTAATTTTATTATTATTGTGTTTTTGTAGCTGAATGCCAAGCCGTGTGAATTCGTTTTACATTATCAGGCAGTCAGATTTGTACGCTTCATTGTTGTTGCTATTGTTGCATTGTCTTGTTGCCGCGGCTTATGTATATATAATTAAGCATTATCAGCGGCGAATGGAAAACAGCAGATGCCAGATGGGAGGCATACCTTTGACTTGCATACAATATAAATGCCTTTATGCTTTGTATCTTCATTTGTTTGTTTGTTGGTTTTTGGCATTGAACTTTGCTTTGACTTTGAGTCTGGTGCATTTGAAAGTGTTCAAGAAATCCTAATTAATTATAATATTATAAACATCTTCCATATTGGTATGGCGCATGTGTGCATGTGTGAGAAAATACCATTTTGTACATTTTTCACACAATTTACGATCTTCAGTTAATATTTAGAGCGTGCATTTTGTGGCAATGTCAGCGAAAGTTTGATCTCTATAATCTTTACAAGGTATTCACTAATTAACGTGTGTGTGAAGATTAAATTTCGTTAAATTTGTATTATGCATATTTCAATAAATCATAATTTCATAGAAATTTATATTTTTTTTTGTATTATTTTTATTTGTGTACGTATTTTTATCTATTGCCTTTTTCTATAAAATCCAACAAAAATTCAGTTCAAAAGAAAGACATTTTTTTATTTTTATAAATTTAATATTCTTGAAATTTGTTATGTATTAATTTATTATAATACGAATTTTATAAAAATACGATATATATTTTTTGTATAATTATATACAATGTATACTTTTTTTTTTTAATTTTTATATATTTAATTTCCATATAGAATTATACATAATTTGTATTCAAGAGAAAAGCGTATATTATATATTTATGAATCTTTTATAAATTTAAATTTATTATACTTATTTTGATATTTTTTAGTTTATTAATTTAAATCCAACAATATTTTAGAAACAAAATGTGTGTATATATTATAATATTTTTTATTTTTTAATATTTTATTTATTATTTATTTATTATGCATTTGTTCATCCATATATAGCTCATATATATTCATAACTAGCTTCTAAGCAGTTTTTGTCCATTTCCTCAAGCTGTCAGCCTTTTTTACACATATTCTAATGCTTTAAAATTAAAGCATAATTTTATCTTTAACTTAATTAAAAACTCTTGCTAATTTCGACCCAATTCTCAGCGGCTGTCAGCTTGTTTTCATTAAATGTCTTCGTTGAATTTGGTTATAAATCATAGTCTCGTTTGTTGCCTAAGTCTTTTGTTCGTTGTTGCTGTCGCTTTTCAAGTTCATAAATTTGAAATTGAACCGGCGCGAAATTGACTTATTTTAAAGCGGGCCAACCTTTTTGCTACTCCGCTAATCGATGAAATTAATAAATAGGGCTTATGTTGTACATTTTTGTTTGTAAACAAACAGCGTGTTGAAATGCTCTTTGTCAATATATGTGTGTGTATATGTATTGTGTCACGAATTTGTTTGTTTGGCTTATTAAGTCGTCAACAAAAATTTGACAAATTGCTTTACAAGTGCCGTGTTGTCCCAGCCAGTTTGTTGCCCAAGTCTTTTGTTTGCCCATTTGTCTATTGGCAATTGGCAGCTGCTAAAAAGCAAATGGCAAGCGCAGCATCGCAATTTGTCAATATGCGACTGACATAAATCCATCAATGCATTCGGATACAAAATCAATAGCCCAACACGGTGGAGGCCGGGCAAAAAACTTGCATAATAAATACGAATAAAAGGCAAGCCATTGCAATAAACAAGCGACAGCGCGGCAGACGCAGATCAGCCGTTGCACTTGCTTCTAAGCATAATTACATATTTCGCTTACATGCCGGTTGCAGTTGCACTCGTTGCTGGCCGACTGTGTGGCATGTTAAGCAGCTGTGTGTGTTTGTGTGGAGCTGGGGCACACGTAGTGGCAAAAAAAAAGCAAAGACAAAAGAAGCGCCGCACAAGCGCAGCTTCACATCCGCATCGCTGACTGTTGACTGCGCTGGGGCCGCTGCTGCCTGCCCCATGCTGCTCGCTGCTTTGCTGCATGCCCCAACAATTGCTTCATTTTGAGCAAATGAAAAGCAATTTTGATACAACAATTATGTGTGCTACCAGGCGCAGCATTCTGTTGTGCTGCAGCAAGTTCGTTGCTTAAGTCTTTTGTTTTGCATATGACAAAAATGTTGGCAGCCAGTGTCAAAGATAGTAGCAGATACAAGCAGCAGCCAGGTGCTTCTTAAAATGCCTTGTAATAGCAGTGCTTCTGAGCCTGCCACAGTTTGGCAGAAATTGTACACCGTTTGACAAGCATTCTTGATCTTGGCATGCAATACTGCCAAAAAGTTAATATATGCTATGTAAAATGCAGTTTGATATCTATACAGCGCCCACAATTGCAGGTTTGGCAAGCACTGTTCGCCATTTGTTTTTTTATACCCTGAACCCATTAAAAATGGGTATAAGGGTATATTGTATTTGTGCATAATCCAAATGTATGTAACAGGCAGAAGGAAGCATCTCCGACCCCATAAAGTATATATATTCTTGATCAGCACCAATAGCAGAGTCGATCTAGCCATGTCCGTCCGTCTGTCCGTATGTATGAATGCAAGGATCTCAGAACCTATAAGAGCTAGAGACATGAAATTTTAGATGTTGGTGCTTCTAGTGCCTGCGCAGATAGAGTTTGTTTCCGATAATCTATAACTTACTCCGATTCCAAGCAATCGATAAAAATCGATATCGATATCTTGTTTTTGGGCAATTTTGGTAAATAATAAGAGCTAGAGTCACCAAACGTGATATCTAGAATCTTATAGATATTTCAAGTATCTTTCATTTCATACCTATCGCCACCTCCCCGCTATCACCCCAGAGCTATAAATCAAGTTAATAACCCAACTTTTATTGCCAACCAATTTAATCCACAATT